TTATAAATATTAAATTTATAAATTAATTTTTTAAATTCACGAATTTTAGTGGAGTGAAAGTATATATTTATGCTGAATTCGTTCTCAATACATGAATTCACATTCCGATCTATGGAGTGTGGATGGGGTAGTGAGAGATGAATTGATAGACTTATATTTTATGTTGAATGTGAATTGACATGCCAACCCGTCCAATCCACCCAAATTACTGAAATCATTTTTATTTTCTTCACTCTGCATTTTAATTAATTTTTCTTTTTCCTTAATGACTACTACAATCTTGACTTATACGACAAGTTTTGGGCAATGAAAACCTCTTCTTTTTTTTAATCAACAATGAAAAGCTTCAATGAATGCAACTTTTTAATCTCAAGAGATAGTTCAAATGGTAACAGGGACAAACTATAAATTCAAACGTTTTGAGTTTGGATTTTAACAACTCTTTTAGGTTAGGCCATGAGAGATATTCCTCATAAGTATCTTAGTTTTGATGTTGATGACCTGCCTTCGATTGGATCAGAGAGGGAATTAATCGAGATATGTATAGATTATCTCAAACATCCCCGACTGTTAAAAAAAAAAAAAAAATCTTCCAAGTATTCCAATATCCAATGGTATATCATGAATCAAATTCAATTTCCTCTTCGGAACAAGTTGTTCAGATCAAATGGCGTTTTCATCACTTTGCAGAAATGTACCCCAAAACCTTGAGTCGCTTTAGAATCAGTTGCCACTATTAACCAAACCCAGAAAAAGAATCATTAGCTTCATTGAATGCAACCTATGCTGTATTTAGTCTTTATGCGTGTGCTCATAAGCTTAGGGAATTCAGATTAACTTTAGTGCTAAATTTTTGGGCTAATCTCACTCTGTACCCAAAAAGATATTTCGATTCTCAATTTATACTCTCAAATATAAAAAATCTTAATTTGCATATTCGATATTATAAATTGGTAATAATGTGAACCTCGCACAAACTAATTTCAATTTTTAGTCATAAATTAAAACACGTGTGTTGCAAGTGCATTGGACATGAGTTTATGTATAAATTCACAGACTATTAACACCTTATGTGATTTACACATGATAAGATTAACCTCTATTTGATTAATGAAATCTTATTTTCGATACACAAAAACAGCGCCTAATTGATCACAAATTAAGATCTGTAAGGATAGACATATCTTATCCTCATGCCTGAAGCACTTGTACTTCACGTGCTTCAATTTATGACGGCAAACTAAATGACAGTTTGGGTCAGATTCACACTATTATCAATTCATAACATTGAGGATGTAAATTAAAATTTTAATGTTTAAAGGTACAAATTGAAAATCAAAATATTTTATGGGGGACAAAGTGAGATTAGTCCCAAATTTTTTGAAAATTTTCAAAACTCAAATTTTCACCATGAATTCTAGACAAAATTCTGATATTCAGGTGAATTCAATTGAATACACGACGTATGATTTGAGATTACAACAATTAAAAAATAAAAAATAAAAACCACGATAAAAAAAATGAGAAAAAAAAAACTCAATGTATCTACCAGGGGTGCAACTCGGGTAGGTTGGGAGGGTTGGACAGTCAACCCTAACTCAATCCTAGGTATATAATTTTCGTCCTTAATCTTAACCCTAATCCTACCTCGGGTTGATAAACTCAACTCGAGCACTGTCCGAGTTTAATTCAGGCAGACTCGAATTGAATTTTGGTTAATGATTTTGAACTACTTACGGGTTCAATTCGTGTTGAGCCCAAAATAAACTTATTGTTTTAAACATGATACATATATTATATAATATTCACATAAATTAACAACTAACAACTTCAATCAAATTTTTAACATAAAAATCATAATATTAATATTTCAATGTTTGAAATAATGCAATCACAATTATACAGAACACAAATAAACAAGATCAGAATCCTTATACAAACATAGAATTCACTGCTTAAATAGTGAGTGAGGGAGGCGCACAATGAAAGCTTCAGAACAGATTAACCCAAGATTTAAAAATATATTTATATGGTTATGAATATTCGGGTTTAATCCAGTAACCCAAAGGGTCAACCCGAGATTCGTCCAAATTGAATTCGGGTTGGAGTTTTTTGACCCAAGTCCAACCTAAGTATTAAAAACTATAACTCAAACTTTAATTTTTTCGGATTGAAATTGGGTTAATCATCCCAAATTACACCCCTAATATCTACTTTGGGGGAGGGGGGGGGGGAATCTATTTACTGTAGAACAATTTTTTATGTTTTTTTTTTTTTAAAATTTTTGAAGTTTGTGTTCTTTTAACCCAGTTTTCTGGATTAAATCATTTGCTCATGCTTGAATCAAGCTTGATAGGACATGGTAAATTGAAATTCAAAGATGCCGACCAACATTACGCTGTTTAAGTTGAATCCTACTTCCATATTTGGGTGAGAGCATTATGAATTAATTGATCTAACCCAACAAAATAGATTAGATAAATGACTTCCTGACTGTTATCGTGAATTTAAAATAAATCCAATATTTATTTAATCAAATATAGGTAAAGTGGATGATGATATAGTTTTTGAATCGTAGACTCCTGAACTAACTCTATAACTAGATTAAGATAAAATACAGTATATTTAATTTCAAATTTGATTTGACTAACATGATAAAAACAAAAACACAAAAATCTTTAATTCAACCATGTTTGACATGAAATTGAATGGTGTTACTGGATAGTATTATTGGATAATTACCCATTAATGTGTTAGAATTATATATTTGTTTTTAAAATTTGAAATAATTAAGAAAGATGGTTGAAAATTTAAATTTAAAATAGTTTTAAAAAAATGATGAGAATATTTACAAAGGACAAATGAGATTATTTGATAGAACTGAGCTAATTAAATATTTTAAAATTCTAGTAATTAAACATCTAGGACGGGAAACCTTGTTAATATTTTATATAACAATCAAATTGGAGAAGAGAAGCCTAAAAAAGGTTTCCATCCTAAATGTTTAATTACTAGAATTTTTTCCACCATGCCTTGAATATTACACACCCTTTGTGAACGAGTTCAAATATAGTATTCAAAAAATAATTGCTCGGTATCATTTTTTCACTTCTCATTCAATATTTTTTTTATTTTATTATTTTACACGAATTTATTATTTTTACATTTAATGGTAATAAATTAATTAAACTAAAATTTACGATTTTAGGTGAATTTCTGTGTACCGCCAAAAATTGAGCATTGATTGTATATTTATATTTTAAATAATAATTTTTTTAATTATGTAATTTAAATTAAAATGAACGGAGAAAAAATAAAAAAGAGAAGAGAAATGTGTGAATTAATAGAGTTGTTTTGATATTGATGAATGTATTGATTGAATTATTTTGTATCGGAAGACGTGCATAAATGATGATTTTTAGCTGGCCACTCACACCCAAACAATTTATATAACAACCACACCCGTGGCAACTCCGATGGCACATCTCTGTAATAAACCAGAAATCACGTGTCATTTTTCTGTTGTATGATCATGATGCATGTTCAGCATAGCCATGAGGATGTATGTGTTATGATAACATAACATAACATGACATACATACATGGTTCATATCTTAGCATAAACGACAGAGAGTGAGGAGAGAAGAGGATTTGACTTCATTTGATAGAAGGGAAAGATAAAGAAAGAGAAGGAAAGAAGGAATGAAATGAAGAAGAAAATTCAATCAGATCCAATGTTATTTTGACGTCCGCAAGAAACACCACACACTCTCTCTCTTCTCTCCCTCTCCCTCTCACTGTTACTTTCTCTCTCTAGAAGCAGAGCAAACAACAGCTAACTCTCTCTGTCTTCACAGCGAGATTGAAGAAGACGACTTTGGACTAAAGGAATATAAGTAAGAAAAAACAAACCCTGAAAGCTACACAGCCTTTTATTTGTATTGAAAGGCGTGAATTTGTTTGTGTTTAATGCGAAGAAAGAGCAAAGAAGTGAAGAAGAACAGGAGTGAGAGTGTGATATCACTATTGTTACCTTAAAGTTTGGTGAGTTTCATTTACATTTACAGTGTGTGCTTCGATTGCAATCTTGGGAGTTTCGTAGATTTCTTCTCACTGTTCAATTGGTACTTTATCTTTTCAAATTTTTAGCTCGAAAGCCCTAGAGATTTTCATTTATTTCAGCTTTGGATCGTGTAGTCGGTCTGTATTAACTCGTTTTATGGCTCGATCGAGTGGTTTTGGGTTGGTATTAACTGTCTTCTTGTCTTTTTTTTTTTTTTTTTTCTGGGTGTTAATTATTTTCGCAGTTCAAATATTTCTTTTTGGCTAAATTTAGATTTTTTCTCAGTTCGAAAGGAGGGTATTGTGTGATAAAAGGGTCTTTACTAATTTGTGTTGGGTTCATCTTTTGAGTAAGTTGATTTGAATATGTGAGGTGTGGAGACTTGGGTTTGTATGTGTATATAGGTGCTTGATTTGATGCTTTTGAATAGGGTTTTAGGTTAGTTATTTGGGCCATTGAAAGATTCAGAAGCTGCCTTTGATAGTCAAAGTTTTTTGTGATTGTTTGTTGGCCTTTTGTTGAATAGTTCTACGTAAATTTTACATGAAAATTTTGCAATTATGCAGAAATTCATACAGAAGCCGGCTGAAAATTGTTCTTTGTACAGAGATAAGACAATTGTAGGATGGTCAGAGCAAAGGGGTGTTGCTTGTTTTTGGTTTTCTTTGATTCTCAACTCGTGTTGAACAATACTCAGCACCGTATGCTCAGGCACAAAGGTTTCCCTTTTCACTTGGTGCACATTGAGGATTTTGGAACATCTGCCTTTCATTCGGACTCTGAAATGGTTGTTGGGTTTGTTGATGGTTGTGGTTTTACACGCACTGTTGTGTAAATCAGTGTAGTTGAATGTTGTGGTACTCAGTGCCGGAATTATGTCATCTTAGATAGTGCTTGTACTTAAAAAGGTGTTTGTAGATTGTGTTTTCTTTAAAAAATGGTGCCGTCCGGGCCTCCCACTCCACTTGGTGGTGCCCAGCCTGTTCTGCCGTCACTATTACGGTCTAATTCTGGTTTGTTGGGTGGTCAAGGGGGTGCAATGTCTTCGCAGGCGGGTTTCCCTTCTCTGGTGTCTCCCCGCACTCAGTTTAATAACATGAATAGGCTTGGCGGTGTCCCAAATGTTTCATCGCTTCTACACCAGTCTTTTGGAAATGGGGGTCCAAATTCTGGGCTTTCTGGTCCTGGGAGTTCTCAGCGGGGAATTATGGATAATGGTGCCGAGTCTGATCCACTTTGCAGTGTTGGAAATGGAATGGGTTTTAATGCTCCTTCCTCATCGTTTGTGCCATCAAATATGGTAAACCCAAGTTCGTTGGGCCAAGTTCAGGGACAACAATTTACAAACCCTGCTGGCAACCAGATGTTGCAAGACCAACAGCAGTCCCAACAAATTGAACCTCAGAACTTCCAACACAATCAGCAGCCAATGCAACAATTCTCTGCCTCTAACAATGTCCTTCAGCAGCAGCAGCAATATCAATCTCGAGGTGGATTAGGCGGTGTTGGACCTGTCAAGATGGAACCACAGGTAACGAATGATCCACATGGACAAACACCACAGCAGTTGCAAGCTTTGCGAAATCTGGGTACAGTGAAACTGGAACCACAATCAATCCAGAGTATTCGGAGCCTGGGGCCAGTTAAAATGGAACCCCAACATTCCGAACAGTCATTGTTTTTACATCAGCAGCAGCAACAACAGCAACAGCAGCATCAACAGCAATTACTCCATATGTCCAGACAATCCCCTCAGGCAGCTGCTGCTGCCGCCCAAATGTTGCATCAACAACAGAGACTCTTGCAGTTGCAACAACAGCAGCAACAGCAACTCCTAAAGGCTATTCCTCAACAAAGATCAACCCTACAGCCACAGTTTCAACCACAGAGTTTGCCTTTAAGGTCTCCCGTAAAACCAGTATATGAACCTGGGATGTGTGCCCGACGGCTGACACATTACATGTATCAGCAACAACACAGACCTGTAGTAAGAAATTTTTTTTCCTGAAAAGAAGCTTTTGATTGATAGATTTTGTGGCATTGTAATGAACAGTGAGCATGTCTAATTTCTTGTAGGACAACAATATTGAGTTTTGGAGAAAATTTGTGGCCGAGTACTTTGCTCCCAATGCCAAGAAAAAGTGGTGTGTTTCGATGTATGGAAGTGGCCGCCAAACTACCGGAGTTTTCCCTCAGGTCCATTGCTATAGGAATCCCAGTGGAATTATACTACTGCTGGGAATGCCTCGACCTATTTCACTTTTGAGTTTATGTGGCTGATACTTAATGAATGTACTTGTTAATTTTTTTATTTCTTGGACTGATAGATGTAGCTTTTCGAGGTGAAAACTTCAGTTCACGAATTGGTTTACATATCAATGTCAGGTGTTGGGCTGAACTATATGATTACTGTTTACATTTATGCAGGATGTATGGCACTGTGAAATATGCAACCGCAAGCCAGGTCGTGGATTTGGTATGTTTGGATAGTTGGTTGTTTGATGTCATCTTATAAATAATGTTATCACCATGGATGGGATAGATGTGATCAATTAATTGTTCTGACTCTTGTTTAGATTTGAGCTTCATCTACATGAGTTTCATCAGAAACTCAATTCTTGTCTTGTTATTTTCACTTTGTTGTTGTATGCTTTTTTCTTCGCACTTCATAGTTTTCTACTTCATTGCTTTGATTCGAGGACTATACTTTCAGAGGCAACTGTTGAGGTTCTGCCTAGGCTTTTCAACATAAAGTACGAAAGTGGTACATTGGAAGAACTTCTTTATGTTGATATGCCCCGGGAATATCAGAATTCATCTGGCCAAATTGTCCTGGACTATGCAAAAGCCATACAGGAGAGTGTTTTTGAGCAACTTCGTGTTGTCCGTGATGGTCAGCTAAGGATAGTTTTCTCCCCAGATCTGAAGGTTACATACGAGTAAAATGGTTTTGTTTTCACTAACTTCAAATTGAGAAGCATTATGTAGTTACAGGTCTCTGTGGCTTCTTAGCAGATATGCTCTTGGGAATTCTGTGCTAGGCGTCATGAAGAGCTTATCCCTCGAAGACTGTTGATTCCTCAGGTTGTTGATCTATTTTTTAACACCAGAAGCACACTATTTGTGTTTCGCCATAATTTTTTTTTATTTGATTAGTTTCATCTTAGATTGATTTTAACTAAGTGTACAACTTTTGTGTGCTTGTTCAGCTAGTGACAGACCCTTTTTTTTTTGTTGTCTTTGAGTGGCAGCAAGGGAATGTCTTTATACTTTTTCCAGCAGTCAAGTTGATATAATTATTTTAAGATATTGGAGTTTTCAGTGCTGTCACAGTTTTCTTAAGCTTTTCTCTTTTCTGTTTGTGAATAATTTCAGGAATTTCTGTATTTACACATATTGAGCAAACAAAAAGTTATCCACCTGATGCTATTTCCTTGCGGCTGCCATATGATATATTAAAATTTATAGGAGTTCTGGCATTGCCATTTAATTGAATGAAATTATGCTCTTTAGGGCCATTTGCATTAAAATATATTGTACCAATCAATGCATCCATTTCGACCAACTGGCAATGAGTTTAGAGACTTACAAAACTCATATACCAACTTCAGGGCTGTAAGATACCAATGGGGGACAAGCTCTAACAATATTTACGACCCTGATTTGCACATGGAGAGGCCGACACACGAATTGAACATTTATATAAACATTCTTGGGTGAAACAGATATCACAAATTAAACATGCTATCATCTGACAGAGGAAAAATGATTGAGACTTGACTCATTGGACTCTCGAAGCAATCTTTAATATTCTGTGAAAATATGTAACTCAAAACTAATTGGCGATGAGTGTAGAGACCACAAGGTTCATATGCCATTTTGGGAGGCCTTCCAATACTGATGTGGGAGAAGCTTTAACAGGACCTTGCCTGTTTGCTATTACAAGCCCCCCCTCCTTTTCTGCAACCCATCATTTATATTTACTAGGCCACTATACACGAAAGATCTCTGTAACATTGTCTGTTTCCTATTTCCTCTTAATACAACAAAGGGTAGAAGTCTTTCTTCTTTTTCAGAAAAACGTTTTGCAGTATCGGTTCAGTTGGGAGATTGATATTTTGACCTAATACCTTCAGTACTTGTCACATTGAGGGGTCTTATATGGTTCTTGCTGGGTGTGTCTGCATGGTTCTGATCTAATTGCTTTTTGAGCTTGGTTCATTTTTGTGGGCTTCAGCTTGAAAGTAATGAAGTTGAACGGAATTGCTGCATGTTTGGTAGTATACGAGGGAGTTTCAGTGTTAACTGCCTGTTTTATAATTCATTCGCGGCCTTTTGTTGATACTACTCTGCAGGTTAGTCAACTTGGGGCTGCAGCTCAGAAGTACCAGGCTGCTACTCAAAATGCATCATCTAACTTATCTGCTCCAGAGTTGCAAAATAATTGTAATATGTAAGTTGCAGACTCATTTTACTTTGTTTATAATGTCTGAGCCTTGGAACTTTCTAATTCTTTTTCAGATTCTAAGTTTGAAATCATGTCCTCTCTCTCTCTCTCTAAAACACACACTCACCTATTGTTTACTTGCCCTGACATGTCTGAAACGTTTGATTGGTCTTGAAATAAGTCAATGTCCTCTAGCATTGAAATAAGTCAATGTGCTCTAGTCACTTTATTAATTTGATGTACATTCATTCTTCGCAGTTGTTGCTGCAGATGATTAACTTGGTGCAATTTTTCTTTGTTTGAGCAATATTCCTGTGCGAGAGCTTTTCATTTTCATTTTTTGAGTTGTTGATTTTTATATCTTAAACCCAGTAAGCCTTATTCCTGGTGTTGGATAATAAATCAGCTTCAAATTTGTATCAACTAGAACTTGCTGTCTTTTGAGCAATATACTTTTCCCCTTCATTTCTTGCATCCACACGGATTTTGCTTTCAAAGAGTTGAGTGGAAAGTTGAGGGTATCCCGCTATTTTGTATCTCTGCTGGATGGAGGGCAGTTTGTGATTTATTGATAGCCATATTTCATAGTTTTTGTCTAAATGTGGTTCTCTTTTACCTCCTTGTAATTGTTGGATCTCTTGTCCAACTTAGCCTTATGTAATAGTAATATTTTTTATTGTATTAATAAAAATTATGTTTCTTATCAAAAAAAAAAAAGAAAAGAAGAGGTGAGAGAAAATATAGTTGCATGAATATCTGCTCTCAATTAGTTTGACCCAATGAGATAGGGGTGGGAATTACGTGGTCACAAGACTCACGAGTCATGACTAATGATGTTTTAGATGCAAATATATCTTTGTTATGTGCAAGGCATGTATTCTCATCTGTGGACGGCATGGTATGTCATTGAATATTTCATCCTCTTATGTGTTGCAGAAAGTATTCAATTAATTCCAGGAGATTTATAAATATCGTTTGCTGCATGACATTATTTTATTGCGTGATCAACTTATTTCGCTGAGCGGATGATGTTATTGTCTTATTTTTAACTATAAATTTTGCTTCAGGTTTGTTGCATCAGCTCGTCAGTTGGCAAAAGCATTGGAGGTTCCATTGGTAAATGATCTAGGATATACAAAAAGATATGTACGGTGCCTTCAGGTAATGTGCTTTTTGTCCGTTTCCAAAACTGGGCCTCCATTACAATCAGTTGCACTATGATGGAATTGCAGGATGTAGTTAAACTGCGGATCTAAAGAAAAGCTGATAATTCGTAGCATATGTATCCGCAGTCTTGAGAAAGGACAGGGTTTGCTCATTGAACAATTAATATTTAGGTTGGGGGTATCTCTATTTTTTCAACATAGATTAAACTCGGTTTAATTTTAACTCGGGGCTGGCCCAACAGAATGGAAAAAAAAAAAGCATGGGCTTTAGGCCCCAAATTTTTAGAAGGCTCCATAATTTAAGGTATATCACCCGTCCACAAAAAAAATTAATCTATTAAATTTTAAGCTCTACAAAAAAATCTCAAAAAATTAAATCCAATCAAAATTTTTATTGCAATAATTTGGGCTTATAATCCAAACCATAACATTAAAAACTTAGAAATTAAAAAAATACTCAAAAGTCATCTCATATTTATTCTCATCTACTTTTTCTCTCTCTGGTAAAAAATAAAAAAATAAAAAACAAAAACAAAAATTGAAATTAAACACTCTGTTCCTCTCTCTGTGGTAAAAAAACAAACATAAAAGTTGAAATTTCTTTTTCGACAATATTAACACATCCTTCTTTTGTCTCACTTTCGTGTAGAAAATTAAAAATAAATTAATATTTTTTAAAAAATAATACTAAAAATAAAAAACCTTTTATTTAATGTTTTCGCTTTAGGTCTCAAATTGGCTTGAGCTGCCCTGTTTTTACTCTACTCTCTGTCTCAGTTGGACAATATTCAATCATTACCTAATATTTCTCCTTATAGAAGTCTGATATTTAAACCCAATAATTTCGTGGGCACCAACTGGATTCTCCCATTCAGTTGAAGCATTCTACCTGTAGCTTCTTTGTTGTTGTAGCAGGTCTAAATAATTGATCAAGGAAAAAATTCCTCCATACCGCTTGTAGATTACCATAAGCTCAATGACACGCGTTGTATTGTCTGAAATATTGTTGCAATCTCTTATAGTTCAAGTATCTGTTTCCACCACACCCCTTGTCATGAATAACCGTCAGTGACAAACCCAGTGTCTTACTAATTTTTTTTCAAAATCTCAGCATTGTCCTTTTATCTTTTTCCTTGACTTCTTCCCTCTTGCACAGCCTACATAGTCCTTTTTCTCTTCTCTAGCACACTCATATACACTAGGTGTGCACCCACAGACAGAGTCTGTTCTCCTCTTGAACATACAAACTCACATAAATGCAGCACAATCCTTGCTTATAAATTCACGCCCAATGGGATTCTATCCCAGCATCTACAGAAAGGAATTGGTAAGGTTAAGGGCCTTCTGTGGACTGCACCACTCCCCATTGCAACTGAAACTGCTCATGCTATAGCCATCTTCACTACGGCGATCTTATATCTTGTAATATGTTTTGAGGGATTTGCAATCCCACTATTCTTTGTTTTGATCTGTTCATCTTTATGATTCAAATCGGTCCACACAGAGATGGCAATTTGTTGTTTGATTTCATGACTGCCATGAATCAGACAACACATAGATGTCTATATGTCATTTGATTCCATCATTGTGATTCAGATGAAAGTACCCATTGCCAATAACGAACTTCAGAGCCAAGCCAGCACCAGGGCATGCCTTCATTCCCATTCCAAATAGGTTGAACTTAAACCCTATCCTCCCTTTTCAGGCCCTTCAAATCTCTCACGCCCGAAGCTGATAGGTTCCTTTCACACTTTGGAGTTCCTATGGATGTCTCCAGTATTGTCAAACAAAATCTTTCCTTGAGGGATGTCGACTCCCTTTATGCCGAGGGCTTTGGAAGGAAACTAAGGAACGAGAAATGCTGCATTCACATATGGTGAAAAGGATGAGATGGAATTGTCGTGGTGTTGATCGGTGGTAGGGATGGATGATGGTGGGTGGAAATAGTGGCGGGGGTTTGTGGGCAGTGGTCTCTGTTTTTGTGTGTGTGTGTGTGTTTTTTTTTTTGGAGGGGGGTCACACAGGCGCACTCATAAAACGAAAGTTGTCGATGTTGGGTGCATAGGTTCGTATGCGGACCTCAAGATGGATACAGATGTGGATATAATGAATTCTACAGATCTAGTATTAAAAAAACATCATACATTTAAGGATGTCTCTGAGATAACACTATCCGCGGGGATCGTTCATGGAAGTTTCTCTTGGTTTACTTATCAGGAGTCATGAAATTGGTCTGAAATCTGAATAGTCAAATTTTGGAGGGTGCTTGTAAAGTAGGGAGCGCTTTTTTTTTTTTTTTGACATTTTTGCCCTTCAGAGAACATTCTTTGTTTGCTATATGAGGGTAGAGTTGCAATATCAAATGGTAACCATTTCTTTCCTTCTCAATCAACTAAAGGGTTAAGGGAAATATACCTTTGCTTCAGCAAGCACGTGTTCTTCCCATCTTTTCTTCCTTCTAACGAAGTTTACAGTCATCCTACACAGACACTCAGACTTGTCCTTGGTAGCAATGAGTCTATAGGGATAGGCCAAACTCATGGGCACTATTTTTTTTAATATGGAACGGTATAGATGTTGATCTTAGACATCTATATGATTGAAGTTAGTTGATGCCTGAGTAGAATAAAGAAATTACATCTTTCCAATAACTTGCAACTTAGTTCTTTGACACAGTTAAATGTTTGATTGCACATCAAAACAAGGCATAGACTGACAACTTTCGGAATTTACTCCATGGAAAGGTTACACCATGTTGAGGTGTTTCTGCTGCTAGATAGTAACTGGTCATGTGTAAAGAGAGTTAAATACATCACTGAACTTTGTTAGTTAGATTTATCATTAGGGTATGCTGGGACGATGACTAGATCGATAACCTCAGTCACGGCTGATATGGTTGGACTAATGATTCCCATTGCCTACCCTTTGCTGATCCGTTGCTGATATGGTTGGACTAATGATTCCCAATCCCTACCTTTTTCTGATCATTGATGGGCATACAATTACTACCCCTTTATGGATTAGTGGGGCTGCTTTAGGATATTGCCGTGTTGCCTTGCTTAATTTGTTGCTTTCTAATCATTTTTTTGGTACTAAGAATCATGATATTAATTGATATAAAATGATGACCTCTTGACCACTTATTGTATTTGTATCTGCAGTGCATCTCAATTAAATAATCCAATTTGTCCTTGTTATTTGCTTTCCTCCTGACAATGAATTGCAGTAGCTGATGCTCTAAAATAGGACTTGTCTAGAGAAAGAGGATCCATCTATGGGCTGCACAAATGGAATTGGCTGCTTCATTGATTACACAACTGTTACATAATTGCTCTGTTTCTGGTTACACTGCAGATATCGGAAGTTGTTAATAGCATGAAAGACTTGATTGATTACAGCAGGAAAACTGCGATCGGACCAATGGGTAAGCTTGAATTTTTTTATTTGTGTTTTTTTTAGGTTATTCAATTTCAGAAGAATGCAATGCATAATTTTGGAAAAGTAGACTAAGTGAATGGCTATGCTAGTTTCGTATCTTGTGTTTCAGCATTTAGGGACTACATGTTTAATGTAAGATAAATGGGGTGTAGAGCCCATCTATCCTTATAAAAGAGATTCTTCCATGGATGATAATAGAGGCAATGTGTTAATCTTTGATTTAAACGTGATAGTAGTGAAAAGGCACGAGGCATCATTCATGCTGAAGTCGAAACTATTCATGTTTCCTTCTGTCTTTTCAGAAAGCTTGGCCAAGTTCCCTCGAAGGACAAGTACTTCGCCTGGGTTTCATAATCAACTTCAACAACCTGACGAACAGCAGCAGCAAACAATGGCTCAGAACTCAAACAATGATAGCTCTGTCCAGGCCGCAATGCAACTTCCTTCTACCAACGGTTTGCCTAATGGAAATAGCACTCTGAACTCTGCATCAACAACTTCCTCCACTAGTACTATGGTTGGGCTGCTCCACCAGAACTCAATGAACTCGAGTCAGCAAAACCTGATGAATGGTGCAAATAGTCCCTACGGAGGAAATGGTGTTCAGATGGCATCCCCAGGTTCCTCAAGTACATTACCGCAGGCTCAACCCAACCCTTCTCCATTTCAATTGCCAACACCATCCTCATCTACCAATCCACCGCAGACTTCACATGGCGGCTTAACCGTAGGAACACACATGAACTCTGCAAACTCCCCAAATATTTCCATGCAACAGCCTGCTCTTTCTGGTGATGCTGACCCAAACGATTCTCAGAGCTCTGTCCAGAAAATCTTGCAGGAAATAATTTTGTCTAACCAACTTGGTGGGGGTATGGTAGGTGTTGGTTCCATGGCGAATGATGTTAAAAATGTCAATGGAATATTGCCAACAAGCCATAACGCAGGTCTCAATAGTGGCAATTGTCTGATGGGAAATGGGACGGCCAACAGTAACTCATGTATCGGGGTTGCAGGATTCGGAAGCATGAGCAATGGACTTGGCCAGTCTGCCATGGTTAATGGAATTCGAGCTGCAATGGGTAACAATTCCATGACTATGAATGGAAGGATTGGCATATCAATGTCTCGGGACCATAATATGAACCAACAGCAGCAGGATCTGGGAAACCAACTGTTAAATGGTATTGGAGCTGTCAACGGTTTCAGTAATCTTCAGTTTGATTGGAAAACATCTCTGTGATATGCTTTATCAGTGTTGATGTACTGATCCTTGAGCATTGCTGCTTGTGCAGTTATAGGAAATTCAGGAATTTCCCGTGGCCCCGGGAAGATAGCTTGTGTGTGAGGAAATAGATGAGATGGTTTTCAGGGCTTCCCTCCAGCTTTGTACTACTTTCAGAGAAAAGGAAAACATAATTCATAGTGTCCCCTACCATTGAAATGTTATATCATCCTAAGTTGCTTCATTTACTTCTAACCATGTTTTCCCTGGTTTAATACAGCTGCTTATCCTTACTAACCACGTTGGAATGGAAATATAGGCTGCGACTGTGTAGTGGTGCAGTTTTCTTCATATCTACCACCTTTATACTCCTTTCCGAGCCATTTGTAAACTAGAGTATCTGCGAGTTTCTTTGCTTCTCTTCCTTCTACATGTGAGTGTATATATTCTGTGGACTGCTTGGAAGCAATTACAGTGTAGAACTTTCAAGAGCTGCTAATGATCTTCAGTGATTTAGTTCTGGATCTAATCTTATATTCTTCCACTGCCCATTTTTTGCTGAAAATTGCAAGGCTCACAGGTCACAGCGAGTGTTTTGGGCACTTCTGTATTCGTGCAGATTTTAGTTGCTTGGATTCGATCTTCATTGGTGACTTCTATGTCTTTTGTTCTGTTTTATTTGTGTTTTTTATCTCCTTTTTGTCATTGGGAAACCTCAAATTGATGGATATCATACTTCACAGGGAGCTACCATGGCTCTGATTTATCATTTTGCTAGCTGAGTGGTTTGAATTTGCAAATAAGCAGTAGGTTGTGGTCCATGGGTAATGACATCTGTGATTTAGAATGCTGCCAGTTTTTACATACTTGCATTTATACATTAAGGAAACATTCTGGGCCTGCCTGATGAATAATCGCGCTTGTGAACATAGAATTATTTAGTAGCTCTTGGATATCATTTGATAACGTTCTAATTTTTATTTTGCTGTTTTAGGTACTTTAAAATTATGTGTGTGTGTGTGTGTGTATCGACTTATTCTTGTTTCTAATTATTCCATGAAATGAAAGTAATCTAATTTGATGTGATTATAATTTTTGAATTTTTTTTATTAAAATTTGATCACTTGACATATTATTATGTCGCTTGATTAGGTCAGTTTTTTAAATATCAATAGTATTTATGTTATTCCAGTTTAATATAAAGATTGAAAGAATGCATTGGTTGGATGCTGGGACATTGGAAAGGAAAATGAAAAACCAAGGAGAGATTCTGTCTGTGATCCATGAATCTCACTCCAATTGGTAAATGGTATCCAAGTTCTCTGGCTAGTCTGATCTCTTTTACACGTGTAATAGTTCATGGACATGCGCAATTATATGAATCATTTATATTTCACGATATAACAAACACATATCATCTTTGCAAAATAGTAATTTATATTTTCTTGTGTTTTTCTAACAAAGTTTCTTGTGAAAAAAAACCGTTAGCAAACGGTTGATTAATAATAGCAAGCTCTGATCAGAAATCAACATATTTATCTATTGTATCAGTCAAGGTAGACTTGGACACTGCGCCAATGATGCTTTCTTTCTTCTGCCCATCCTTGAAAAACACCACAGTTGGGATGCTTCTGATTCCATATTGTGATGGTATGTCCGGAGAGTCATCGGTGTTGAGCTTGAAACACAGAATTTTTCCAGCGTACTCTTTCGCCAGTTCGTCGATGACTGGTGCAATCATCCGGCAAGGTCCGCACCACGGTGCCCAAAACTCCACTAGCACAGTCCTTTCATTAGCAATTACAAGGTCTTTCCAGCTGATATCTGTGACTACTTGAACTGCAGATTCCACAAAAATTACCACATAATTATTTATCAAAATTTTCGGGTATAAATTTCTTGATTCTGAAGGTATAGCTAACCTGCTCATGCCAAACATTGGAATCAAACAAAGAAGAAAAGGGTTTTGGTTCTTCATATAATTTGGGTTTTAATTTGTATTTTTGGATTTTTTTTAAATTTTCAAATGGACAAACGTACGAGGAAACAAAAAAAAATCTAACTTGGATATGGATTGACCGTGCAAATGGTTGCCATGAGGACACGTATATAGCATCTTATGAATATGGATGCTAAAGATACTTCTCAATATATTAGCTGTGTTTTTCTAAAACTTAATCCCTTTGCACCGAATTATCAATTATTGTTTGTGTGTCCATGATAGTTCAAGGCTTAACGGTGCTTGACAGAGCACAATCAGAGAGCATGTTTCATGAAATAGTTAAGACAAATGTTGAGTTGGATGTGTTTGGGTGAGACAGAGATAGAGTCACCTTCATTCACAGCCTCACGAGTGTTGAGTTGGATGTTTTTGGGTGAGGGAGAGAGAGAGTCACCTTCATTCACAGCCTTACGAGCTTTGCAAACAATGCGGGATCTTCCGCGGAATGAATGAGCTAAAGATGAAGACCACGATACACCGGAGGAGTTCAGCCCTTTACATGTCGGCAAATTAAGCTTTTCTCTGGAAGAGAATGGAAGCTGAGTCTGTAGAACACCAGCCCTGGCACTAGAGACAGTGCTCAACTGAAAACAGTTCTCCAGAGCCATTTCACCTGTGTGTGTTTTGTATACACACAGCTGGAGTTTTGAAAGAGTGATGGTAAGGCTGGCTTGGTTAGTTTGTTTATGAGCAAGGAAGGGACAGCTGGATTTTCTTTCCCCCAGAAAATTAAATTTTCTAGTAAGTGTATTTTCTTTGTTATCTAAGCTGGTGGATATTGTTACCAGATTGTAAGGTGCTTACGGTGCTCAATTTCTTGTGGGTGACATGAATGGACTGAACTATCAGAGAAAGATGTCCAATGACCAACAAGTTTCAGTGCACAGTGACCATGGGTTTGACCCATGAGCTCTCGACCACTAAGTGGGGGACTGATTTATCACCAAGTGTTAATTTTCGCTTTATTTCTTATTCGATCTGCTCCAAATTTAATCTATGTACAGTGATACATGCACCAACGTAACATATTATCATTGATGTGCTAAGATGCGTATAAATCACTTTTGTAAAATAATATTAAACATTCTTTTTCTTTCTGACGAAATCAAATCAATTCTCGCTGAAATAAAATGTAACACATATTTCGAACAGTCAGACCGAGGTGGCTAAATGGATTGGAGTTTGAATACTCACAAATCCATCGGACCAAATTGAGCGAATTCCCGATAAAACAGAATCCAATCCATATTTGAACCATTGACAGGCCTAGCCAAGGGATCAAAGAGGCAATGCTCAATACAACTATATATAAAGCGTTGGACTAACAATCCTAAGTTCAAAAGTTCGAGTCTGAGGGCTCCACAAATTTCAGCTGGAGGAAAGATAAAAATAGAATCTGCATCAAAGTCCATAGATAGGTTGCGTATACATTTTTCTTAATGGTTCCCTGTTTCAACTATGACGAGTTTACAAAACCAAAGGCAAATTGTCACAACTTAGAAGCTTATGAACAGCCTGATCCAGTTTGTCATACACCACAAAAATTCAGGACCATCAAACAGTATTCGAGAAAAATTCTACCAGAAAGTAAAGCCCATAAAATTCATACAGAAATTTCGTCAGGTGAAATCTACCAAAAATTTCACCATTGTGATAATGGACATACTTGAATCCCTTAGCTATACTCTACTTTGGCAACTAGTACGATTTCAGGCACAAATTTGCAGATAGGACGAGATGGATCTTAATGTATGCAGCACCAACTAGTGCAAGGCAAAGAAATTAAACCCACCTCAAAATGAATAATCCTTCAGATCTGTCCTCGAGTCGCCAATTTCCATGTCAGCCATGCATTCTTCTGCAGAAAGGGGAGGGAGTTGTCGGGTCTTTCGCTTTAAGTTATGCTTGTGCCAGTCACTCTTAAAATGCTCTCTGTACTGTTTCGAATCACCCACAAGAGCATTGCACGTATTACACTTGTTCTGCTTTACATCCTCCTCGGCCCTTTTCTCTTTTGCAGAGATTTTCTGATTCTGCATTTTCTCACTCAGTTGTGGCAAAGAATCAGCGGACTTCTCGGGTAGGCTTGGTGGTACATCTTCTTGATCATCATAATGATCCACTGTGGAATTACCTTCCACATGCAGGATTTCCAACCTCCCCTGAAGATTCCTCACCAGAGCATCACAGTCGCGGAAAAAACCTGGGTCTATTTCACAAATCTGCACCAAAATCAAGTGCACTATTAAGCTCAAGAAAAGGCAATCAAAACATGATCAAAATGGAAAAAAATAAGGATTGCATGGTATTCAATTCAGAAAAAAGTAGCTAGCAAGCACAACGCGCCTGAGAATCAATTTCATATACGCAATAATATGAGGAGACAAAAGAAAAATATACTGAAATAAAAAGGAGAAAAAAAAGAAAGAAAAGAAGCCATAATGGAGGGCTATGATAGACTGCAAATGTTATCACTATACAAAGTAGTTAGAATAACCATTTCTTCTCTACGATAGGATGATCATCCAGGTGGCTCCTTTTTCAGGGAGTGTAGTGACTGGAGAGAAGGTGTCTGACATCTTTGAGTCTTGTATGCTTAAAGGGTCTTTCCTCCACTTGAATTTGTTTATTACCCTGAAATTAGTAATGGCTGAGGACCGGAGAGAAGGTATGCCATCTTTGAATTTTTTATACTTAAATGGTGTTTACTCTGCTTGAACTTGTTTGGTATCCTGAATTTAGTGAAGGGCCCTCCCACCTTTAATTTTCCCAATAGAACAAATGGTTAATCTGAATTACCTAATTTTAGTTGGGCTTGTACCTGGTCCACAAAAACCGGAAACCTTAAAATCTCTGTCAATGTACTGAACTGTCTGAACATTGTGAGTTGGTCATGAGTTGCACTATAATTTCAAGCAAGCCAATGCAAATTCATCTTGCTTTTTGTGGAAATATGTTAATTTCCTCACACTTCAAGCAGTAAACTTGAAATTCAATGTGTTTTCCATGCCAATAACTGTGAACAATGCTACTTGGAAAACTATGATTGTGTGCTGGAGTGAAGTTTTGATCCCAAACCAGTCACCATATTGCCGTCATATTATCTTGAAGCACTAGTTTCTTTTGTTTTATCTAGGAAGCATGGATACGGACACGGGGATATAACAAAATTCAAAAATATAAGATATTGGTACGACAATGATACAACTAATTAAAATAATATTATATATTTTTTAGATAGGGAGAATTCCACCTAGACCCCCTGAGATTTATCACTTAATCATTCAGACTCCCTGATATTTGAAATATTACACATAAACCCCCTAAGATTTGTATGCGCGTAACATTTAGACCCCTACCATCAATGATTCTGTATTGTTACATATATTTCTTGTCTCATTTTTTTAGTTGATAGCATCTTACAATTCTCGATTCGATCGCACGATCCCGATCCTTTAGTCTCCCCCATCAATCCAAGAGAGGATCCTAATTTTCAAAACCTCGTCTAAAAGCCACCAACACAAGCTATGGACTATCACAAAATGTCCATAGTTGCCTAGATTCACTAATTTCACCGAGATAATAAAAAATGTGCAACTGCCGTGAAAAGTTTGGTTCAGTTTTTTTAATTCCTATATAATATCTAAAATGAAACATTGTTATTTAACAAATTCCATCTCATTATTTCAAGAGTCACATCAACCAAATTCAATGCTAAGAAAAAATTATCCAATAAAAAATACGTAAGTTATGGTTGAACATTTAAGAATTAATGAAAGCTTGAAATTAAAGACTTATGTTTTTAAGGGTGCAGATCTCAGACTTACAACAGACAGCTGACTTCCAGATTCATCTCTTGAAACAACACTAGCATTCCATGTATTGAGCTTCTCCAAGACAGAAGAGAAGTTCTGTTCAGGTACAGTTAGTCGTAGTCTCATAGGAGACCGTTTAATGGGGAAGTGTTTCTGCAGCTCACGGATGACTTCTAGTGCCTGTAAAACAGAAAGTTTGGCATCTCTTTATGAACTTTAATGTGGTGAGTGGAGTTCAGGAAATTCTATGAAGACAATAAAATTCTCATCAATCTATGCCACAACAGATCAAGTTACCTGTTTCTTTGAGCTGTTATGTGGGTCAACAGCAAAATGGATTTCATGCATTAGACGCTCAATCATGCTTATAGTATAAGGCCGTTGAGTTTCAGGGTTGATAGTCTTCTGCATCACTATTGTTGCGATATCCCTAAACTGACTTGATAACAGTGATTCCCTTTCCTTGCCTGCAACTTGTAGCTCTCCTTTATCCAAAATCTGCCAGCATAATGTATATTACTTGATCAATACATTTCTTAACCCTTCTCAACAACAAAGAAAAGAGAGAAAAAGAAACAAAAATAAAGGTGTTTCCAACATAATAGACAAAGCAGAGTCATTGAGTGAATTCCAGACAGATAATCCAAGCGTCGTTGATAGAGGATAGTGCCAAGTGCTAACCTCCAAGCATATTGTTGACTGATCGTCTGTCGCAAAAGTTGCTACTAAATCTTTCGACTTGGCAAGAATTCCTTTTGAGACATTCGAATAAACAGTTTGTGACTGCAATACTTCATCCAAATCTTTTTCTCTGGTTTAAAATTCAAAAAAATCAGCATGCTAATATTCATGCCCAAAATTTATGTGCTTGTGTGGCATGTGTGAGGAAAACCAGTTTACAACAATTATATATGTGCCCTTAAGAATTGCATCAACAATCAAAAGTTACATATCAACAAAAGCGCTAAATATGAACAATCACAGATGATATTCATGCATTTATCGACAATTTCAAGCTTGAGTAATTTACCAGCGCCCGAAACATTATCGTAACAGTTATCAGATCAAGGAGAGTCTAGAGCACACAAGCAATGAATAAGAAAAAAAAATCAGTTGACTGGACAAATTAACAAAATCCCATAGCTAAAATTCTATAACTAGAACCAATAAACATCAAAGACAAGCATATCATGCCATCTATATATATATATATATATATATATGGTGGTTTACAAGCAACTGAGTGTTGCTTACTAGTGGTGATATTGTATTACGAAGGCAATTGGATCAAAATCAAGAATCCAGAGCTCGCCAACTACTTCTATCCTACAAAATGATCGTACCTTATTATTGCTTATTTTCTCATAAAATGAGGAAAACATTATTATTATTTTTTTAACTAAGTTTACCCTTTGGCTCATATGATACAATGCCGGAAAAGAAGTAAATTGAACGATATACATTAACCAATTTCAGAGGATATGATCCACTCATTGTATACAAACCCTTGCAATTGGATGATAGCTGACATGATCAAGATTTAGCTTCTTACCAGATTAACGCTCTATTTAATGACCATACCAGAACACATTCCACTCAAATTATCTTCTTCAGCTTCAGCTTCTTTGAGGATATATCTAGACTGGTATTTAATATTTTAATATAGCAGAGTTGCTTCTGCTTGGTGATAATGTCTTGCTAATCACTGGAGAGTGGGAGTTGCTGACAAATGGACCCTCATCCTCTTCAACCTCCTCCACAAATATCTTTAACTATCGTCACAAATCTCTATCTTTGTTTCTCTCGCTATATGACATCGAGCAGAGAGAATCATTTAGTTCGCAAACAGATGAATTATGCATTCAGTTGCATAGTTCAATCATCATGCAAACACAAGTATTCCATAATTCACAATAACCCCTCAAATTCCATTTTAGCTAACTACAACCATGCAGAAACCTAATTGCCTCACCAAACTGCCTAAGAAGACCCAATTACGTACCTATTAAACTAGATGCTTCAATTACTAATTTCAACTATCATAATATTCCAAGATTTTCAACAACTTATCTAATTGATCAGCTAACAACATCAGAATACTAGGTCGGTTTCGCCTGTATATATGGACTTTCAGGCGCTGCTACATACAAGAGGCTAAACTTAAGGTTAAAGTGAGGCATAAGCACCACAAATTCACTTAATAGTTTCAACTTATTGATGACATCAATACAAAGGATAGTTTCAGATTAATAGTGAGTTATGATGACAAATTAAAAGAGAAAAAAAAAAGTTCATGTATAGGTTTGCCACAAGAAATTAGGGTTCCGTCTCTGAGAGAGAGAGAGAGAGAGAGAAAGGCTTACACGCCGGAGCGCCAAGAGAGGACCTTGTTCTTGTAGCAAGCGATCTCAAAGCGAACACCGTGTTTTTTGAGACGGACAACGGCCACGTTCGTCAATCTCTTTTGCCCTATCGGCTGTACTATCGTCTTCGACATCTCTCTCTCCGTCTCTCAGAGATTGTCAGTTCTTTCTGCGCTCTGTTTTCTTGATTGTTCTGAAGTCGGCATTACCTGAAGAATTAACGATCTTGTTCCCTTTTTTAGGTCAGGTAACTTGCGCTCTGTTTGGACGAAAATTCGAATTAGGTTTCAATTTTTTTTTATCGGATATTATTAAAAGCAGTTTTATCAGAATTAGATACTATTAATCATATATATATGTTGGGATAAACAAACAAAAAAATAATTTAAAATAGGGTGTAAGAAGAAATAAAGTGTGAATGAATATTTTAGGGGTGAGAATAACCCCTACCTACTATTAAAGGGAGGGGACTTTGAACATAACGAGATTCGAACTCACGATCTTAAAATTCTAGAGTGGGGACGGTGATTATTAGTTCATCTGCTACTTGTGGTGACAATCTTATTAAGCATAAGTCACATGTCTTATTAGAATTTGAATTTTTTCTTTGAAGAGTTTTACAATTAAAGTTAGCAACGTAAATTCCGAGAATATATATATAATTGAATGGTAATTTTATATATTAATTAATCACCCCTTGACTCATGCGAGCTACTTTTGAACTAAATGAGAGTAAGACTTTTCTCCCGAGAGAACGAATTGACCACTAGGAGGGGGAAGGACCCTTGCCTAGCTAACGGAGTTCACGAGAAACCGACTTCAGTTAGTGAAGCAAGGTCTCAAACATCAAACCATATCTTACTGAACAATCTAACTAATTCTTTCATCAATAGTTATCCATACGAGTAAATGTTACAAGGTTCGAGACAAAGTAACCAACCTTTCAAATAAATGAATACATCAATTTCACATGTATCTTTAACTTAATTTTTTATTTTTCCTAGAAAATCATTCAAACAAAAGAAAATAATAACTAGTTTGAATGTAAGACATTTAATGGCTTAACCAAAATTGAAAATTTCTTTATTAAAATCAAAATTTTGAAAAGAAAAAAGAAAAAGAAAGGGATGGCAGTCCAAAGTCCCTTCTAGCTCACTCTGACATTTAGGAAAAAATATTCATTGCAACAGTGATACCATGTTAATATTAATGACATAGTATAACCAACTAATAATATGTAAACAAATAAGAAAACGAACCTCATACAAACCAATGACTACATGTCTATGTAAGTCAATAACTACCAATTCTTATTTTATGTAAGTCAATAACTATTCAAGTGGGGTTCACTTTACCCATTTAGAATTTTATTATTAATTAGAGATACTATGTCATTAATGCTGATATAGTATTATCGTTGCATTGAATATTTTCTCAACATTTGGAGGGAAAATCTTGTTAATTCCTCACCAATTCTCCTCTCCCTTCCTAGGATGTTAAAAGTTCGTACAATTATATTCAAACCTTGGTACTGGTAGAGTAAATTTGGGATGCATCCAAGAATCTAACACACTATCCTTGTTTAAGGAAAACATCATTACTACTAAATAGTCTACAATAAAGAAAAACATGTTAAATTATTTTTAAAATAATTTTTTTTTTGGGTGGCTATTTTTGAAAAATTCTTTATGATTTTTTAGAGAAATTGGAAAGGTGTAAAATAAATATGACATGAAAGACTATTAATTCAAAATTTGTGACTTTTGGCTAAAGATACCAATCGAAATGATTACATCTTTTTATAAAGTCACCAATAGAGCCTTTTGATTAAAAGACACAATTACAAATAGTCACAACTTTTCATAAAGTCACCTTTGATATCCCTTAGATTAAAAGACACAATTTCAAATAGTTGTACATTTTTCATAAAATTACTATTGATACATTTTGAACCAAAAGACACCATTACATTCGATTGCACCATTTCTAAAAAAGCCATTTGTGAGTCTATAATTAGATAGGAGATGTGATGCACTCTCAAAACATACAATTGAACAATTATACTTTCTACTAAAATTGCTCTCTCATTCTTCTTCACTCTATTCTCCTAAATTCACATACATATATTCTTTTATATTATATCTAATATTCTATTTTCTGCAAAGTTAGAATACTAGAAGTTAACAAATTGATTTCCTTAAGGTATTCGAGTATTGTTTTCGTAAGTGCAATACACAGATAAGTTTGAGAAGCTTCATTGTATTTTAAGAACAGATTTGTGAAATTTTTAGTGCACACCTTTCTAAACAACTGGTAGGGCAAATATTATTTTTAGGAAAGTGTTATTGTACAGGACTTAAAGTAATTTTCAGTGTTTGTAGTACAGTTCCTACAATCAAGTTTTCAATAGGGTGACGACACCAAAAGGTCATTTTTTTCAACAATCTAAAAATAGTATTTATTCATGGATTCTTCTTCGTCTACAAAATCACTCCATTACATGATGGAAAGTTTCATCAATTTGGATCAATTTGATGGTGTAAATTTTCTCCGTTGGCAAACGAAATTGCAATTCCTATTTACTAAATTGAAGATTGCCTATCTGCAGACCACACCAAAACTTGTAGAACAAGAGAATGAAATAGTGGCGCAGACACGAAATCAGACAAAATGGGAGTAAGATGACTATCTCTGCAAAGGACACATTTTAAATGCAATGTCCGACTCTCTATTCAATCTCTATCATGGAGTGGAATATGCTAAGGAGCTATGAGACAAACTGGAAACAAAATATCACGCAGAGGATGCTACAAGTAAGAAGTTTCTTGTCGGTCAGTTTCTTGACTTTAAAATGGTGGATGGTAAATATGTGCTAGATCAATTTCATGAGATTCAATGTGTTCTAAATCAATTTAAATAAAAGAATATGCATGTGGATGTGTCTGTTGTAGTTTCTGTTAGTGTTGAAAAATTTCCTCTGACATGGAAGATCTTAGGAAAAATGTTAAGCATAAGAAACAGGACTTATCTCTCGAGGAATTGACAACACACCTCAGGCTTGAGGAAGTGTCAAGGGCTCAAGAGAAAATAGAGGAGAAAGAGAAACTTGCTTCTAAGGTTCTTGTGGTAGAGAAAGGAAAGGAGAATAAACAATCTCAATACTTTAGACTAAACAATAAAAAGAGGAAAAACAATGCTAGTGATTCTAATAGTAACAAAAAGAAGAAAGACACTTGTTTTTTTTTTTTTTTTTTTGAAATTAGATAGGGCACTTCAAGAAGGCCTGTCACTTCTACAAAAAGAAGTAAGGATCAAAGAATTCTAAGGAGAAGTTTGTATCAGTCAGATCTAAGGTTAATCTCCTCAAATAAGATGGTTCTTGGTGGGTAAATTCAAGTACAATGAGGCATGTCTGCAAAGATAAGAAAATGTTTGTCACATGTGAACTAATTGAAGATGTCACTATTCTCTACATGGGAAACTCGTGAAGGGAAAAGGAAATGTGGATATTGAATTCACATCTAAAAATATTATTACTTTTATCAATGTCTACCATGTGCCGGAAATTATAAAGAACCTGGTTTCTGAAAGTCTACTCAATAAATATAGTTTCAAACTTGTATTTGAGACAGATAAGTTTATTTTGTCCAAAGGTGGAGCTTTCGTAGGCAAAGATAGTTGTACGAGGGAATGTTTAAACTTAATATCAATAAAATGCCTATTTATGCTTACTTTGTGGATTGTCTTTCTTTGTGGTATGATAAATTAGGACATGTTAATACAAGGAAAATGGATGACATGGTTGATAAATGTAAAATTTGCATGCAAACTAAAATCACTAGAAAACCATTCCTAAAGTTGAAAGTGTTGACCCTATGTTTAGTTAAGCAATGTTTTGAATATTATTGTAGTATTAATCATCTTATTGTGAGCTTGGTTAAAAGTGTTCCACATGTTTGACACAAGATAAGAAAGCTTGGATGTTCAATATGCTGTATTATGTACGAAGAACCAAAAGATAAGATACGATGATTGAAGGTGCAAAGAATGAAAAGAGTGAGCATGACTAAATAGGGTGATTGAATATGAGAAGATGTACCTACATGAAAAGAATGAGTATCATGGATATAGGTGGATTAAAGAAGTTGATTAAATGAGAAGAGTATGACATGAGAAGTTTCTTCAACAATTTTGTCAGTTTGATGTGCAAATGAGGACAACTTGAAGATGTTAAGGATCATTGTTGTAAGATCATTATTCAAGTTAGAAATGTGATTATAGTGGTTGAGAGGAAGAGTTGGAAAATCAAAGAAAAGAAATGAGAGAAACAAACCAAAAAGGAAGAATGTTGAAATCGATCAATTTGACATAATCTCAATAAAATGGGAATAACTTTTGATGGAGATTTCCAATTGATGTGATTAAAGTATGGATGGAAAGAAGACTTCAAAATCTACAAGTTTGTGTGAAATAGTAATTTTGAAATTTGTTTCTAAGCGAAAAATGGTATGGAAGTTGGAGCTAATGCATTGAAGGTCGACAGTAAAAAGTTTCAGATATATCTCGGCATTTGAGACATAACTTTCTACTCCGATGTCCAAATGATCTGATTCAAATTGGGTTGGAAAGAAGACATCCATTCTACAATTTTGTCAGAATTGATATTCTTCAAATTCCAATGTTTTTAGGATCAAAATTGCATTGGAAGAAGGTGGCAGTTCATAAAATCGGTATGCCAGATGCTTGAAGAGGCATACTGATTGGCTGAACTGGCATATTGGTTGGGGAACCAAAAAAGCTCAAGGCCTTTCAATATCTTCACCTGATGATCTCTGATGAACCAACAAAGTACCTTTGACAAATTGGCATACCATTGAAAATTTCGGATGTGTTCGTTGAAGGTTCTAATGGCTAGTTTTTGGCTTCTTTGCTTGTCCAATTGATTCCTCTATAAAAAAGATTGTGAGGGTTATTGAAGCAAGACTTTTTGGGGACTTCTAGGGCATTTAAAGTGTGAAATACATAGAGGAAAGATCAAAATTGTGAGATTTGGGCTATAAGACTAATTGTATTTTTCTCTCTCTTTGAGTTTATTTGAGTGATTTGTTACTTTTAAAGAGAGGAAAAATTTGTA